CCATGCCCCACATAAGTAGGATTTTATTTTCGATCTTATATTTTTTAGATTGGAAAGTTTTAAATCACAAAGTATTGCAAAATATCTACGCAAAATATTGCGTGTACTATACAAATTCAACCTAAGAAATATATTGTATTTCGATGCTGTTATTTTTGTACTTCAAGAAACTACCCCTCATATTCAGAGATATCCATTTTATTTATAATTACAATTGACCTGTTTTATTCATTACGAAAGGCATTTCTAATTTAACCTTTATCTTTTACAATATGACTATGTTTTACCCCACTTTCGAACAGATTTCTGATAGGATCGATTTAAGAAAAGAACTTCCAGAAACTACCCCATATGTTCAAAGCCATCCATTTTATTTATAATCACAATTGACCTGTTTTGTTCATTACGAAAAGCATTTATGATTTACCCTTTATCTTTTCCAATATGTTTCATCCCATTTTCGAACAAACTTCCGGTAGGATCGATGTAAGAAAAGAAAATGGGAACGTAGCGAGGATACAATTGTTATTTCATAAAATCAAAAATTCCGGTACACGCTTCCTTCCACGTTCCATTTTCACCGGATCGAAGCTTCGAAATACGTTCATTAAAAACATCCCATGAGCCTTCCCAGAAAAGTGTCCGGAAACGCCAAGAATTGGAAGCTGAACCTTCACGGAAATTGCTTATCCGCGCGGCACTTTCTGGCCGTCCGTTTTCTCCGCAGAAAAATCGTTTGTTCCGCCCTTTTCCCAATACGCTCGTGCTGCACCTCCGCCACGTAATCAAGGATCGACGTTTATTCCTGCACACGATGCGGTGGATCGGTCGCTTCGTTAGTCGTTTGAACCAGGGAATTATACGGAAATACAGAAGGGAAGTGTTAGCTGATGGAATTCATAAAAACAGCACGTCAACGCGAAATTTACAATAATTAAAAGTAAATATAAAGTAACCTATCCACTGTGTTCATATTTTATTCAATTATCGTGCCGTTTTCGTTATGTTGTTCTTGCGAATAATTGATAACGTAAAAAGAAAATTGCAACTCCATCGTATTTTTCTTTTAAATCGTGCATTTTCCGCTAAAAGCTTGTTGAAAGTGATCCAAACAGCACTCGAAAATAAACAGTTATTTTGCGTAACGATATTCGATTTCAAGTAAGAAATATTCACGAAGCTAATATTAATTAAACGGGAATGTAACTGAAAAACGAGTACACAAACAACATTGTTAGCCAATTGCTCCCAGGAAATGTTTAATTAGTTTCAACAATTCTACTTTCCCTTGTGCGTTTCAATTTGTGGAACACTTAACGAGCAAAAAACGCTGAAATACAGATTATTCTTTCCGTGGCGAGGCAGCGGCCTGAACAATACCTCGTAAATTTTGAAGTATTCATACGAGGATTCGCGGTTGCGCAGAATTTTACGAATTCACAATGGAGCCGCATCGTCGAGTTTCGGAGATGCTTTGCAGAAACGTGAAATATTAAGTGTGTTCTTCTTAATGCCAGACCCGTGTTTCCTGCTTCGCGAAACTATTTGTCGACACAAACTGCTTGTGCACAGAATTTATATAATAGTCTATGAAAATTTATACATCCTCGCTTCAATGTATCAGCGTTACAAAATTTGTACAATGTTATGCCAACACTTTTATTTATGTGCAATCATAATTTTTTTGATGGCACAGAAATTTTAGTTTCTGCTAGTATAACTTGTACAGAGGAAAATTCTAAATGAAAGGTGAAAACGTATATTCGACTCCGCAGTTCTGCAAAATTATGTCCAATGTATCTGCCAGCGGTATTCCGTCGAAATCGAAGAAGAAAGTACCAAAATGTCTTCCGTCGTTAGATTTTCACACGTGTTCCAGAGTTACTGACATCGGTCAGGCCAAAACGAGACGAATGGCAATGTGCGGTGAATGGTGTCGACAAGAGACAGACGTACCGCTGTTGACAGTTTGCGATATTCCGTTCTGTTGGAATCATGGTCCGGTTCCTATCCTCCGAGAACTCGTCGGTTGCCTTCCATTACAGATACAGGATGTCCTGCCATGCAGCGAAACGTAGCTCTGACTGTGGTCACAGAGCGAATTCATACAATGGTTGGGGCAGCCCTGGCGACAGTATTCATGATAGTAATACAGATACTACGTATGTGCAGTATACGTTGGCGGTTAGACTCTATCTGCACGTGAGAAATTTATTTCTTCTTGCATCTGAATAGGGTCAACGGAAGAAAGGGTGCACCAAGATTCTTTGACTAGCTGCAAATTGTTAGCACCAACGAACCTCGCGGGTCAGATCATTTAACAAATGAAAAGTGTCAGTTGCAAGCGGTAAGAACGTTTGTTGCATCATCCTGAATTCTGGATGCAGCTCAGATTTAAAACACCGGTTATCTGGCATATTCGGAACTGAGGCAATGCCGAAAAATCAAATATGTCGGATAACTGGGATTAAAGAATAACTTTTCGAATATTCTTACAATTTCTAAATATTCTTCACCAAAATACGCGTTGTTTGCATTTTGAAACATTAAAATCCTCCAATCCGTTCAGAAGTTATGATGTTTTAAAAAGTAGAATATTCCTGGTCAGACATTATATTTGTGGGAAAGAATTTTTTCTCAAAACTGAGTAGGATTTCTGGGGCATGTCTATTCACCAAAAATGATTGTAATTGATCCCCGCAACCGACAATAATTTTTCCAGAATGATTTGAAAAAATTTTTGTTCGCCGAAAAATTTAGGCACCGATTTTTCTTAAAATTGCGTTTTTCATTTATAGTCATTTTGTTTTATGCCCTACACAAAAGTTGTCTAATACTTCTTTGTAGGTATCCATGAGCTCTACTTCAGAAAAAAGTTTCATTGAAATATATTCACTATTCTAGACGTTATGGTCATTTGAAAATTGGACCATTTTTATGGGGTTTTTCTTACTTTACGGGGTCAAGGAATAACTTTTCGAATATTTTTGAAATGTCCACATATTCTCCATCAAAATAGGCGTAGTTTGCATTTTTAAAAATGAAAATCGTTCAATCCGTTCAGAAGTTATGACATTCTAAAGATTCGCATGAAAATTCGGGCAGAGATTTCTGGCGAGAAATTATATTTTCGGTAATGAATTTTTTTCTCGAAACTGAGTAGGATTTCGGGGGTATATCTATTCACCAAAAATGATTGTAATTGAGCCCCACAACCGAAAATAATTTTTTTAGTACAATTTGAAAAAATTTTTTTCACCGAAAAATTTTTACATCTACGCTCCGTCTATTTTTTTTAAAATTTGTTTTTCATCTTGAATAAACACACCTATGGGTAATGTAGTAATACAATTTATTAATAAAAGTAAAATATATAAGATTCTTACGCTTTGTTCGTCAGCTATTTAGTACCAACGTCATGCTGGACTTCTTTGTTTGTGTAAAATATAATCCGTAACATTTATCATAGAATAGTCGGGGTAAATATTCCGGTTATTCGAACATTCCGGATAATCAGAACTCCACTGTGTAAGATAAATTAGTACAATCTGTTCTCTTCACTATCTTAGATTAAAATACAAGATAGTACCAAAGATAGTCAGGTTGGAAAGTTCAACAGTGCAAGAGTTCGATTGTTCTTCGTTTAATGAGTTTTGATTTCAGAACTACAGAACGGAAGATTGTAACTTTTCTTTTGAAGTTGATCTTAGGTGATTGCAGGCAGAAGCGGAGGTATAAGAACATTAACGAGAATAGAATATGGTTAGTTGAAAAGAGTACGCTATAATTTTTTAGCGAAGATCAACAGAACAAACGAGGACTTTTTATGTTTTATTTGCATCAAAGAAAAACAGCGATCAGTGATTCGGTTTTCGTGGTTTGAAGATGCACAAGAGATCGAATTCCATCGGAGGCAATCAGCAGAATATGGGGAAAAAGTTCTGCCACAATATGAATGGACTGAGCAAAAAAACACTCACGCAAGTGTCACGTATGAAGATGAAATTGGATGTTTCTACATGTCCATTGTCGATGAAAACATTCAACGAATTAGAATTGAAAGCAGTGCTTATACGTAGTTTTAATGAACCCACGAATCAAGAACAAAAGTATTTCTTTCTAGATAAGTAAAATTTAGAAAATAATTTAAAGGTAGACCGTAGACACGTTGAATAATAATTGTATAAAGGAATAATATTACCGCACCCTCGTACCGTGTGTATTTACATATGAATTAGGTTACACTCACTGTCGTTTCGAATTACTTCAGAGGAATTAGTGTCACCGTCGTCAGCGTTATGCCTTGTTAAAAAAAGTTTAAAGGCATCGGTTCACGACCTCGATGTCAAACGAAAGGCGCAGTACTGTAAAGTTAATATTGATTCTCACTGCAGATTCATGCAATGAGTGACTTAGAGTGGGCTACTGATTCCGGCATAGTCAGAGGTTTCGAGTGCTTTATCGAGGGCTTTCGAGGAAATTTCATTCCAAGTACTATCGGCCGCGTGCTACTTTGTACCAAGGTCAAAGCAAGAGGAATGTCTTTGAGTATCTGCTGGGGAATATGTGACTGATCTCTGTGTGTACATCGCGCGACGTACCTGTTGTACCGTAGCTCCGAAATAAAAAGAATTTGTGTACGAAGAATCACCAAAGGAAAGTCCTTTGTTTTCGAGTTTACATTACTCTTAGTAAGCATATATCGATACAAACTTGTTCCATCGTCGTTGGACGATTAATCCATGTATAATACACTCCACGTGTTTGGAAGTAACCTGTACTAATGGAAAAAGTACAAAAATACACAGAGAATTCGAGCGGACAATTTTTATTTTTAAAAAACAAAAGAGTTATAGGTCTTGCAAGCATCTATGTGTTCATTATCGATATAAAACCTAAACGTTATTTGTTCTTCAAGGAATGTAAGGCTCCTTTTGTTTTTTAATAATAAATCGCTTCTATGGAACCGGTTCCATAGATTTCTACAAAGATACACTTACTCTTTGTGGCACACCCACCCTGGTACGAGTATGTCTCGGAGAACCTTGAACCTGGCCTTGCTTTTCTTTCCTGTGCGTTTTCAGCCCACGGAGTAGTCTCGAAAATGTCGTTTTCTTCTTGCCTGTATTCTGTCCTTGCTCTGGAACAACAAAATACACGACAAATATAGTATAAACAGAAACTCATATTCCATAGAACAATAGGAAATAACTAGGAAAAGTTTGCTAAAAAAATTTTGTTTTCTCACTGTATCGTTTAATAAATATGAGATGGTAATAGTTCTTCTGTGTGTATCTTGTTTTTTAATTTACCAGGGTTAATTTGTTTCCTTGCTATTTAACCCTTTGCACTCCTATGTCGAGTGTGACTCGACATTCTTTCAAGTCCAAATCAAAGAGATACATATCATACACTTGAAAATTAGAAAATACAGCAGTAGTGTAAATGAAACAGATATTTAATTGAATTTGCTTGTTCCTCTATTTGTTTAAATTGTCCTATTTTTTAGTTAACGTAAACTTCAAATAAAACACTTAAAAGCGTTGGGTGGCCTAATAAGAAAATTGAAATATAATTCGGAGTGCAAAGGGTTAACGAGAACTGGATGAGATGTTCTATAAGTTCGTAGTTTCAATGGCGATGCCTCAGCTATTACTCCTCGTCTCACAAATAATCGAATGAATCGGGATTAGCCGCAGCATCACTATCCATTAATGCATAATTCAGGTATGCCGTTGGTTATCCTACCTGCCCAATCCTCTAACCCTTTGGCTACGACAGTATATTGTATTAGTGTCAACGCATCCGTTTATTAACACCGACAACAACGCCACCTAATTAACTATCTTTGCGCGGCGAATGTTGGAAAGCTGGAACGTATTATGAGCTTTCGAGGTTCCGACTCGCCGCTCATTGTTAGGCTAACTCATAAACCAACTTGCTACGCATCGCTCAATGTCCGTCGCCGCGTAACTGTGACTGTTTCGACTAATTACTTAATCGACATAATTGTCTGCCACCGTCAAATGGAATATGTTGGTAGTGCTAATTGGCATGTGGCATCAAGTAGCGATTAGCGACGTACCAATCGGAAATGTTCCACGCTATCGCCCGAAATCTTCGATTATTCGCATCTATCGGGTTGAGTTCGATCAACCAAGATGCAATATCAGATACAGTACACGCAAATCTAATGAAAGGAACTAGTTATAAATTTACTGTTAATCATTTATTTGTATCTGCATATTTAGCAGATTAGCGACGTACCAGTCGGAAATGTTCCACGCTATCGCTCGAAATATTCGATTATTCGTATCTGTCGGATTAACTTTGATCAAGCAAGATGCAATATCAGATACAGCGCAAACAAATCTAATGAAAGGAAATACTTATAAATTTACTGTGAATCATTTATTTGTATATTTCAATATTTCACTAACGAATATTTCCTTTTCGTCTCGATAATGATATCGATAACGAGGATTCGGACATTCCAGGACAGACACTCGAATATCTTATTAAAATTACGTATCGATACTTTAAAGAATGAATGTAGATATAAAAATAAGAAAGGAGTGCAATACGAATATAGGTCGTTTGGGTTTCTTATTATAATATGGACGGTTTTAAATTATGTATACTTTATAGATACTTGATAGAATGAATGTAGATATAAAAAATAAGAATGGAGTGCAATAGGAATATAGGTCGTTTGGGTTTCTCTTTCGAGTTGCAATACGTAAATGAGAGTTGCAATATACAGTAACTTCCACTAGTACGCTACCAATTTTCCCTAGAATGCTACTGCCTTTGTTTATTCAGCGCACGCAACTCGTCGGCTCGTACAGTCGCTGGCGAGAGCGATCCTTATCGCACGCGGCATCGAATTTCATGCATTATTTAAAATTAAAGTTTTTATACGTGTTACTATATTTCATACGAGCACCGCCAATATGTTTCCAACGTTTTCCCCGGTGAAATTGAGCCCGAGCACAATTCCATTTAAACTATTTTTAATTATACTCCCGATATTGCTAAAACTAAAAATGAGCGAAAAATTTTCCGATAGATATCGATCAACCCCGTAAAATTAAATTAATGTTTCTGAAACGCGTTTTAAAAACCTATTTACCTTTCCAAAAAGTTCTAAAACAGTTGGGTCCTGGTGGCGACACTTGTAAAGTATTCGCTGAATTCCAAAGAGAATCGTTCGTATTTTACTAAAGCGAGTAGCGAGCGGGCGAACGGAAACCATAGAAGCAAAGAATACAAAAGACTCACGGGCACTGTGGTCGGGAATGTCGACTCGCAATATTGAAAATATATTGTCCGACCTATAACCACAAGTCGTGTTCAATGAAACAAATCGTATGGAATAAAAATAAACCTGACCGGAGGATACGAAAGGTCCAATAACGTTTTCTTCGTCGCGGGTGGCGACTAGCATCGGCGAGCGGTGAAAACCGGGAACGGAAAGATGTCAAAGAGAACGGTGGATGGAGAGGCGGTGGTTAAAAGAAAAGGTAAAAAACTTTGGAGGGTATCGAACAAATGTTCCGGGCGACACATACATCAAATCCTGAAGTTGCGTGAGAGATGAAATCCCTGCTTGTTCAGCGGCGAGCCGCGATAAAACCAGTAGACTTTGTCTTCCCCGGTGACGCCATCACCTATTTGTTCTCTCGTGTTCCGCTTATATTTCTGTGTATGCTTGCAATAACCTGCATCGCCCTTCTACTATTCATAAACTTCATATATTTCATTGATTATCGTAGTGGTATTCTATTAAAAGGCCTCTCTACTTTGTGGGATTAAAAAAATCGAATTTTTCTTTTAGTATGTAGTCTCAAAAATATATCTACTAAATATTAAATTAAATTCGGAAAATTAACGAAGTTATAATCTGTTGAAATGTACCACACACAAATGTAACTATTGGACGTAAAATGTTAAAGCTGTTTTTCTCGAAACTACGTAGACAATAACATGAAAACTAATGAAGATATCAACATCAAATGTATGTAGTATCTTTAGAACTGGACTCTTTATAACATGAACAAAGATAGTATGTAGTCTCGAAAATATATCTACTAAATATTAAATTAAATTCGGAAAATTAACGAAGTTATAATCTGTTGAAATGTACCACACACAAATGTAACTATTGGACGTAAAATTTTAAAGCTGTTTTTCTCGAAACTACGTAGACAATAACATGAAAACTAATGAAGATATCAACATCAAATGTATGTAGTATCTTTAGAACTGGACTCTTTATAACATGAACAAAGATAACTGCGATATATGCAATACTTTTTCTTTTATTAACAAAAAACATCCGAATATATGAAAGTATTCGGTACCTTTTCGTAAAGTAACTACCATTGTACCATTTTTCGTTTTTTTGAAAAGATTGTACGTCATGATATAACCACACTTATCTATATTAAGAATATCTTTGGTTTTTGGATTTCGAATAACTTGTTCGCACAATATTAACTACGCAGTCGAGCACTATACGTAAAAGCTGTTGTTTGTCGATCAACAAAAATAATGTAATCAATAGATATTATGCGTTACAAAAATTCGTAAATATAGTTAAATACATAATAAATATATCCACAAAATCCGGAATTAATCGCTCTTTAATAGTACGCAAAAAAAATCACAAACATCTTTTTACCTACAAGGTATAATGGCCCTTTAAGCACAGAGAAAACTTTTATCCACAAATTTCATCCCCCGTGATTAATTCCGCTCAAGCTCGATGGCAATCGTGCAAACTTATGCTAAATATGGGCCTGATAAACTGGCAGAATAAAAATAAAAGCATTCAAATGTTTAATATTTCAACCATCGTTCTTCGGTGTTAAAGATTTAATCGAAAATGAGGTTGAAAATCTCTCGATCTAGCAAAAATGCATACCTTTTATTTTGTTAATGCGAGAAGAACCGGGAAAGCCCGTATCTACGAATATAGTGCGAAGTAAAAGCTGTAACTCTTCCAACTTAAATATCCACGAGCAGATCTGGGGAACAAATAACCGTGAATTACCACGCTTCGTCCCCAATGGAGCGGGAAAGAATTTGTTAAATTTGTACGCGTGTTTCATTACAATCTCGGCGCATATGTGCTAATAATGTCTACGTGGTTCGCGGGGGAGGCAGAAGAAATTTGTTGTTATGAAAATCCTTGAGCGGCGAAAGCGTAGCTATAAGCATGAATAAATTAGCGTTATTAGACTTTCCTTCTCCTTTCTTTCCACTATTCTTACTTCGCATAGGCATCGAGTTATACCTTCGCGGACGGTGTAATGGCATTCCTCTTCTCCTTTTCTCTTCTACCTCGACGATTCACTGCGTTTAAGGATGCTCCTCTACGAAACCCTTCGACTATTCTCCATCTTCGCTTATTTCCCGATAGACGCTGCCCGTGGATAGGAACGGAAACGTACCGGGGGCTTTTCGATAACAAAGTGTACACGCAATCTGGCAGTAACAATTGGTAAAACTCGTGGAATGAACGATGTGTATTTATCAGTCCATGTTACGTGAGCTTCGGCAGTAACGGGGCAATGATTTAAGGATGCTGATAAATAGTCACTGATTATCTTGTGCAAAGAAGAGGCACAAATATCACCTTCTAGCGGAAAATACGAAGTATCGAAACCGGTTATCCGCCAACTGAAATTCGTTATCGCGACGTTACCCGGTTCGATCGACTTCCATGCACGGCGGTTCGCTTCGTTGAATTTTGTTCCTGACGGAAGGAAATTATTCGAGGATTTTTCTTGCTTTATAAGGTCAAATTCGAAGGTTGTTTTATGATAATGGGGCCGGGTGCATGAATATTGAAAGTAGTTCATGGTGGCGCCTTTTTGAAGCCAGCGTTGAGCTTTCACGTCGAGAGTCAGATTAATACCGGCTTAAAGTCGCCCACCTTTAACGACATCGAATAAATGAACAGGAAGATAAATGACGAGAGTATGCCGATGTTATCGGACTATCCATTTTTCACTTTCTCGATATCGCGCGAGTACTACGGTAACGGAGTGGAAATCACGCTATTAATTATAACGCGATAATCGGTAGAAATATATGATGATCGCCGATAGATGCCACGGGGAAGCTATTTAAGCT